TTGTGACCAGTTGAATTTGGTGGATGGGAAGACGCAATGATTCTTTGTCAAAATTGGTGGATATTCTTGATGCATTTGAAAGGATTGCTACTGGTGGAGGAGGGTATGGTGGTTGTTATGGTTGGGGTAAAGGGGGAGATAGTAGTAGAAGAAGAAGTGGGAAGAGGGTAAAATGGGATCGGAGGTGGTAATGAGATGGTATGACACGCGGCGTCCAACTTCATAAAATGTCGAGCTACGTAGATAGCGTTGGTCATAATGGAGGGCATTAACAGAGGAGGAGTATTTTTGTCCAATTTTATAATGTCGAGAGTAATATTTGATCGAAAATATAACGGAGGGTATAAATAATCTTTTTTGAATAGTAAAGAGATATTTTTGACCCTTTTTCGTTCTTATTAATATATATAATCCTGAAATTCAAGTAACATAGTAATACATTTCTAATTAAAAGCTAACTTTTACTCACTAATACAAAGTTTACCATCCACATAAATTTTGATGATCCCACTATTATTCAAAAATGTAGAACTTTCACATCGCTATTCATTTTAATAGGTTGCCCTTAGTTAGTAGCCCCTCTATATTTATTCGTGGCATATGATTTCATTGGCTTTTAAATATTTTATGTATAGCCTCTTTTGTACTTTACTAGTTTTCCTACAATGTACTAAATTTTATAACTTGGGCTAAATGACAAAAATACTCTAATTTCTCTTCTTCTTTTATTCCTTTTTCTTTCTTATAATCAGAGAAAGCACTTCATGGAGTATTACACCGGGAATAGGGGAAAAGGAAAAGAGGAAGTATTAGGGATAAATGGTTAGGAGGGTGTTTGGATGAGTCAAATAAGCTTTTAAGCTTCTTCTTTCTTCCCAACTTATTATTTTTTGTCTTAAAAGTTATTTTTGTTGAAAAGTCACTTTTTTAAGCCAATCCAAACGGCCTCTAGGCAGGATATGGTGTAGCTTAAGCTTAACGGGGATAGAAGTCGAGGATTAGGTTAGATGATTAGTCGGCAGTCTAGCGATTTCCTTTTTCGTTCTTATACCGGTAGTATTAGTATGGTATCTTCGATCTTATTCTTAGATTGTTATTACTTACTATTTGATTGTTATCTTTCGCTTCGGTATTCTTAATATCTTGTTGTTGTTACTGCTTGTTGCCACCGCTTCTTTTTTCATATTTTCTTTAGCCGAGGGTCTATCGAAAACAAGATCTATGTCCTCCTGGGATAGGGATAAGGTCTGCATACACATTGTCCTTCCCAAACCCTACTTGTGGAATTCACTGATTTATTTGTTTGTACGTTTGTTATTGTAATTTTTTATTTTGTTCTTGGCCAGGTTGATTTTATTTTCTTTTTACAATAACCTATAGTATGTTTTATCAAAAGTAGAAACTTTGCATGGAGCTAGTGGGAAAAAAAATCTTATGTGAGGGGGAACCTCGCACGTGTTACATGCATGCATAGTCAAATAATAATGTAAAGGGACGCATGGCGTACGCATACTCTCACCATTGTTGCCTTTAACAACTAAATAACGTAATTCCAAGAATCGAAGCCAAATCTAAAGTCCAAATTCTCTTTTCTCCATTATTAAAATTCTTTCCTTTCTCAGAGTCTCTTTGTAATCTCACTTTCACTTTCGAATCTTCTTCTTCTTCTTCTTCTTAAACGATCCCCATTACCCTCTCACGCCATTCTCCTTCCTCTCCCTTCACGTTATCCCCCCNACTTCTTTTTTCTTTGGGTCTGTGGTTTTCACGTGCACTACTCGATTTACGAGGCAGAGCCATTTAATTTGAACCTGTACTGAAAAATATAGGCAAATTTATTTTAAAACAATGTACTATATATAGTAGATTGTACTGGTTTGGAACTCGCGGACTCTAAATCCTAGATAGGACAGTGTTATTCGTTCAATCTTAAGTCTTGACTCTTGAGCCAGAGACATACAGATCTGACAAGGGAATTCAGATTTTAGTTTGTTGGCTTTGAGAAAAAAACTGAAAAGAGTAATTGGGGTTGGTGAAAAATGGAAGCTTTTACTGGACTGAGTCCAAGAATTAACACACTTGCATTAAATAAGGAAAAATATCATGAGCCGGATTTTCAAGATTCTCAATCGGAGTCCACAGATCATAATGGTGATTACCAAGATAGGCATTTTGATCATTCTATGGATGCATTGGAGATTTTAAAGGAAACTGTGAGGATTCTTAGGTACAATCCTATAGGTTTCTTGTCAATTGCTACATTGTTAATTTGTCCTGTTTCTGCTGTTCTTTTATCTAATGTTTTAGTTGATCAATCTATTGTGAAGAAACTGACTATTAGGTTATTGCTTTTGGCTAAGTCCAGTGGCCTTCCACTTAAGCCCTTTATCAAACAGTCTTGCCAAAAGTTTTCTGAAATGGTGATTTCAGCTGTAATGTGCTTTCCTTTATATGTTACTTTATTGCTCTTGTCTAAAGCTGCTATAGTCTACTCTGTTGATTGCACTTATTCGAGGAAGAATTTCGACTCTAAGAAGTTTTATGTTATTGTTACAAAGATTTGGAAGCGCATCGTCATAACTTATATGTGGGTGTGTATGGTGATTTCTGGTTGTCTCGCATTGTTTATTGTACTTCTTGTGGCGGTGAGCAGTGCTTTCTCTGTAATGGGGTTCCCTCCGGACTTGATTTTGTACCCCGCGATGATAGTTGGGATGATATTTTCTATAATTTTAGCAAATGCTATGATCATTTGCAATATTGCTATTGTGATATCTGTTTTGGAGGATGATTCTGGACCGCAGGCGTTGCTTCGGTCCAGTTCTCTCATTAAGGGGCAAACACAAGTTGGGCTATTGATATTTCTCGGATCGACTATTGGGATGGCATTTGTGGAGGGTTTGTTTGAGCATAGAGTGAAGATACTAAGCTATGGAAATGGATCTTCAAGAATATGGGAAGGGCCCCTTTTGGTAATAATGTATTCGTTTGTTATGCTTATTGACTCTATGATGAGTACTGTTTTCTACTTCAGTTGTAAATCCTATAGAATGGAAGCCTCAAATGAAGAAACTTTGCCTGTATTAGAAGCCTTGACAATTTCTTCAGCATTAGAAGAAGTTCAATAACAACATGTTCGAAAGCTAATTTTACGTATTGTAAAGCTATTTGAAGTTCTTAATGAGAAGAAGGAATTGCTATGTGAAAGTTTCTTTGTACGCAAATCGTGCCTCTCGTGGAAAAATGAGAAAATGTGTCGAAGTCCTATTGGAGAAAGTATTTGTTGATATGGGATACGTTGTGCGGTGTTAATATTTTCAACCACTTGATCGCCTTTTGCTTCAGAGATCCATTTTGTACCAGCATATAGTTATAACTTGGAGAGATCAATCTAAAGATGATAGTTCGAGGTTTAGGATGTTGACACAGAATCATCAGGCAAAAAAACTGTACCAAGATATCATAAGTTTAAACATGTACTATTCTTTTCATCATCCATAATGATAAAGGTACTCTGAATTTTATTTTATGAGTTACTTTTGTCTGTCCTAATCTGTATGGAGTCTTTACTGCCTTAGCTACTCCATATAACAGAACATTGGAGCAACGATAAAGTTGTCTTTGTATGACCAACAGATCACGGGCTCGAAAAGTAGTCATTAATGCTTTAGTTGCTATGTAGGAGTGTTGTTATCTCATGCTTAAAGAAGAGATTCACTCATTATGTGATTTCCCTCCATCTTTATGTGTCTATGAATTTCCCTTATAAATTGTTTCATAACGCTACTAAGAATGCCAGATATGCAAGTTGTCATTAACTCGGGAAAGAGTAGGTAAAGCTCTTTGGAATAGCCAAATCTCTCACTCAATTTGTACTTTTATTTGCATTTTGAAACAAGGGATCAATTATCTTCCAGTCTAGTATCATAATTGAGCTTAGTTGAACAGGATAGCCGATAAACCAATTATTATTAATTAATAAGATCATGTGCAAAACAAATGGTAACTTAACATGGTTAAATACATTATGTTGTGGTTAAATAAAGTGACAAGTATCATTTATTTATTGATATGTGATGTAAACACTCGGTACCGATAAAGATACAACAAAACATAAACACGACATCTTTAACAAAAAATTAAGAGGGTACGGTAAAACATTCATGTGCCTATAAAGATATAACAACATTGCGATTGACCATGACAACAGACCCAGTGTAATCCCACAAGTGATTCTGGGGATATAACAACATTGTGATTAAAAAGAATATTTCAAGCTTAATACTTGGGGGGGGGGGGGGGGGGAGAGTCATTCCAAATAAGAATAAAGCACCAGTGACAATTTCTTTAAAACATTTTCCAACAGCCATTAATATAAGTACCTTTGGTACAAAATTCATACTATAAAATACACACAACTGCAATAGTAACCTTTTGGTGTTAGTTTAAAGCAAAGAGTTAGGGTGTGTTTGGTACGAAGGAAAACACTTTCCATAACCTTTTGGTGTTAGTTTAAAGCAAAGACTTAGGGTGTGTTTGGTATGAAGGAAAATATTTTCCCAAAAATATTTTTCAATTTTCCCATGTTTTGTTGGTTTAAATGTTTTGAAAACATTTTCCTCATTAACTCATTTTCCACAGCCTCCTGATAAAGCATGAGAATGTGATCTTACTATAAATATGAATGCATTTGCATCTAAATGTGAAGCAGAGAAAAGAAATGCAAGAACGCAGAACGCAGAACGCAACCAGAATATTACGAATCGGTCCCTATCAAGTATGCCAAGACGGCAAGATCAATCCAGCACGAGTACTTCAAACAGAACAAACAAATGAAATACAAACTAAAGTATATTCCAAGCAAATAATTCAAAAACTGCTAGGTGAAGAGCAATAAGAAAGTATGAATAAAGATAGCATATGCTGATTCAATAAAACTACTAATTTTCAAAGGGTGAATTTTCAGCCAAATAAAACTTTATGATCTAATAGACATCACATGAGTACCAAAAAGAAATTATTCCTTATCCAGAATATTTTTTTTTGTAAAAACAGCAAATATATTACTAATAACTAAGTAGCATCGCAACAAGTAGCGCTCCTAAGAGCGTAGATGTTCCCAAAGCGAGCTAAAAAAATTACAAACCTCAGTCGAGGCTTTTCTAACAAAAACAGTCTTGCTTTTATCCCTTTCTAGTAACTGAAGGGTAGTAGGGGATGAGGTGGCTAGATAGCTAACATAATCAAAACATGCTCGCTTCTTTCCTTCCTTACCTAGATTATCTGCTACTGCATTAATCTCCCTGAAGCTGTGCCTGATTACCGGTTTGATTCCCTCTCTTTTTAGCAAGAACGATTATCTTCTTCAACAAAGATTGTTCGCTATCAATCACATGATCTTACTGAAAAGATTCCTCTATCAAGGATAATTCACTGTCATTTGGCAAGAAATCAGTGAACTAATTGACTTCTTCAGAGGTTAAAATTAAAAATAAAAAGAACACTTCGCTCCTACTTAAAATGCTTCCACCACCAAAAGATATAAAACACATGCCTAAAACACAATGCTTATCAACGTAGGATTAGAAAGTCGTTAATAACTACACATAATTAGTCAAATGGACCACCCTACCTAGTACAATGTTGATATAAATAAACCAAAGATACATTAGTTCATCACCCAGCACCTATTCTATTGCTGGAAACCAAAAGGGAAACAAAAGGCACATATTCATATTCTATCTTCTGAGGAGTCAGGTCTAAGCTCTTGGGTTCTCATATCTTTTGAACTGGTCATAATTGAAAAATATTAGTTCAGTGAAATCTCCAGTGAATTAATGCTTGATGATCTCATTCTACTAATAAAGTGTATACTATAAAAGAATGTGTTTAGAGCGATATTAAGAAAGAAATAGGAGGATTTTCACAATAAAGATGATCCATCAGAATCCAGTAAAAAGAAAACTGGAGTCAAATTTCAACAAGTTTCTGCATTGTTTTTAATCCCTGAGCTTCATGCGAAACAAACAAGAAAAAAAGGGGAGAAATGGACAGGCTTTCCCTGACTAAGCAGACAAAGAAATATACAAAGGCGAAAAGAAAAAGGTAATATCCATGACTATAATATTCCATCCCTGCACAAACCAACTTTTTTAGTTTTATCCCCAAGAATAAAGCGGAAAATAGAATCAATACTGAAAATTCCTCAACACTACCTTCATTAAGTTGGCCACATTGACTTGCCTCATAGAACTGGCTTCCCCAGCAGCCAACGGCAAAGAAGTGAATCTAAAAGAAAATTTTCTCATGTTTACTCTACGGGGTTGTTATTGTTGTATTCTTCATTCTTCTTTGGATCATAAGATGGCTAAAATCACTTATTTATTAAAAAATGAAAAACATAGAAAAAATCGGAATGTACAGATAAACTACAATCTACCTGATATCGCATATAAGGAGATCAAACTTTGTTCTTTCTCAAAACAATGATTGCAACTCGTCTCTCAGCCAAATCTTTGGAAGATCCGAGGTACAAAACATACTTCTATTGCAGTTACCAGACTCGATTTTCAGCGTCTTCAGCCATGTACTCCCTTTATCCATTTCACATCCATATTCTTCAACAAATGCACTATGCTCAAAAAGATTGAACTAAATTAATATGTAGTAACAGATGGAATTCATCCTTCATTTCACCAATACCTCATTGTCTAAGCAATAAGGGCACATTCATCTTGAAGTCTCTTTTCAGTTATTTTCTAATTTCTGCTGGTACTAAACATCAATTTATGAATCAACAAATATACCAGGATCAAATACGATAAACGAACTCTTGCATAAAATTTAAAGTCTCACATTCCAAATATCAAAATTGAACTATCAATGCATGACCACAATGGGTAAACAATGAATGCCGTCATTTTCCACGCAGTATACCAATAAATAAGCTACTGCATCTTCTTTCTACTTCTCTATCCTATCAAAGAGAACAAAAAAAGTTTATAAAATGACAGCCTCTAAAAGTGTCACGATTTTCACCATCTTTTATTTTGTCTCTTACCTCTGACCTTGCGGAAGACCAGAAGGATGCATGTGGAATTTGGAGGGTGCACGGATAGATGTTCTCCATGTAGACAAAGCAGATGAATTACAGAAAACAAATAAAAGCCAAGAAAACCTGATCAATAAACAGCAGAGATTAAATAAACAAAGGTGAACAAGAAACTGAACAGGGTAGAAATTGTAGAAACTTAAAGAAAGACACAACTAGCAGGGAAACCGAGGCAAAGAAGATTTTGGAGAAAAAAGAGGAAAATAAGGTATTTGGTGAGGTGGCTGTTTGTTGCAGCGTAAAAGGACACGTAAGTCCTTATATAAAGAGCTACATAAGCTGTTCAAACGGAAACGAAAGGTATTAAGAGTAGAGATATTTGGTTTTTTGGGGGGTCATATTGAGAACATTTTTAGACTATCAGAGCAAAAAAGTACAACAGCTTTGAATTAAATTCCAAGAAAAAGACATGTTGAAACTGATCTTGGCACTTGGCTTCATCTTTCTATGTGTGTGTATATATATATATATATATATATATATATATATATCAAACTAGAGGGATGATGCCCATGCTATGCAGGGGCCCAACAAGTTAGAATTTTTTTTTTCAATTGTGGTGGTGATAGTAAACACAGTGCTCCGTATTGAAATCAAAATGGATAATTATAATCAAAAAAGGTTTCTATACAACATGGTTATAACATGAATCTTTTTCTTTTACAATATATGCAAAAAAGACACAAAGAACGGCGCCCTTCCAGAGCCTCAGTTACTGCATCTTTTTCAGCTAGCTTTCTCATTGTTGCAAGGCTGTCCAATTATTGATCTTTGATCTGAAACCTTCAAAGATAGAGAAGGAATAGCTAATTATATGTTGCAGCTTGCATGATACCAAGAGTTAACTGCACTATGGCGCTGAGAGACTAAACAAACCAAGTTCACTGGCTTTTACCTTCTTGTATGTGTCAAAATACTGATATATGATGGCGACCGCCAAGAAATTCCAGCCCCTGAACCAATTGCTCCCATCAGATCACCCAACACAGTCGGGATGCCACACACTCTCCAAAGGCTGCAGCTGTCCATATCTTAGAGGTTTAACTCTTTGTACATGTTTAATTTCTGATACCCAGGCATCACCATTCCTGGAAATCATAGAAAAGGGTACACACCAGGAAAAGCATGGGAGACAAGTTCTTGTACAGTTTATCAACTACAATACTTGTGCAGGTTGTGGTTCCATATCAAGATAGTAAAATCAGAAAATTCAGGCAACAAAACAAGTCAAACCCAAAATTCTTTTTTTTAACTTACCATTTTTTTTTTTTTTTTTTTTTTTTTTTTTTTTTTTTGCTGTTGGATAAGTAAAAATCAAACCCAGCTTTCTGCAGTTCTATGCATAAACAGTCCACCTATATCTTTTCATCGACACAAACATGTTCAAACATGGAAGTTAAGTAGTTCTTTTCAAAGTCGACTTGCATCTATATCCGCTCAAGTTGTGACACATGTTTTTCTTAAATAAATTGAACACCTGATAATAGTACACAGGGACTCAGATATAACAGCAACAGAATTTCTTTAATCTTTCTTTTGACAGGTGAAATGGTGTGCAGGGTGAGAGAGACTTTAGCTCTCAACCTCAGGATCATCTTTATATTAACAAAAACATGTCTATATAAAGCCATGAAACCGAATGAAGATCATACCTTTAACTGCTTAGCTACAACATAGGCTGATGATCCTGAAACCTTGATCCAAGTATTCAAGAACAAAGCACAAGCTGACAGCAGTGAGTATAATATAGCATTGGAAGTATGTGCTATTGTATCAGCCAGGCTGCGGTAAGGAAGAGAAAGTGTAAGCAAGCATTTGAGGAAGATATTGACGTTGCTGGAGGTCAATAACGAGAATTGCACGAACATAACGCAACCATAATATAGTGGAACAGAGACACTGGTTACCTTCATGGTGCAGCAATATTATAGGCAATACCACCAACAGGTATAGATTGACCAGAATGATTCATGTTGGTCTGATGCTTGGCACCCCAATCCCTGTTGTAATTTACTCGTGCAATTTTCCTGATAATCCTTGCATGAAGCTCAGCATTTCCATAATAGACAACTTACGCAGTGCAATAGAGCTCCAATAAATATCACTCATCTATGAGGATCGAATCACCTGCACAAAATAAAAATGAGGAGATGCAAAATGTACACAGGGAAAAGAATCTTCAAAGCTGATGCATCAAGGATCAAATACAAAACGTGCACGAGAAATTCAGACCAAATAACTAACAAGCACATAGAAATCCAATAATAAACTACCGGAAATGTAAGGTGTTGAAAATACCTCAGCGTTTTCCCAAGTTATTGTTATGCCTAAGGTGCACCTTTTTGGCCTTTATGATACCATGATGTAATGCTGAGATTGTATGGCTATCTGGTTGTATTCCCTTACTCCACATATAATTCACAAGGTCTTTAGCCATCTCAACATGCCCTTGCTTACAATAGCCACATATCAGAGCTGTGTATGTAACATTATCAGGTTCTAAACCTCTATCAATCATTTCAGTGAAAAGGCGAATAGCATCATCAATGTTATCTGATTTACAATGACTGTCAATCAAAACAGTGTAGCAAATAACATCAGCTGTTAATTCCATCTCCTTCATTTCACTCCAAAAAGCTGGAGGAACTATATTTTCCCCGATTTCTCCGCCATTCCTCCTTGTATATGATGACAATCGATCTCTTTTTAAATTCTTAGAGTGACCATCAAGCATAACTGTGTAAGTGATCACATCAGGAGAAATGCCCCTTTCCTTCATATCATCAAAAAGATTAACGGCTTCCTGCAAGCGATTCACCTTGCAATAACCATTTAACATCATAGTATAAATAACCACGTCAGGCGTTAATCCTCTCCAAACCATATTATCGAACACCCACCTGGCCCTTTTCATATCTCCAGCACTAGATAAACAAGCAATTAGTTTACTGTACATTATTTTACAAGTGTCATCACCTAAAGTCAATACTATCTCGAACAACTTTACCGCTTTCCCATATTCACCTTCCAAACAGAGGCTACTCAAAAGCTTCAAACGAGAGTTCCTTCTAATTAAAATGCCTTGTTTTGATAGCCTAACAAAAAGTTCATAGGCATCTTTCGTGTTGCCTGATTCACAATACCCATTCACCATGGCAGCATAATTTTCTATAGATTTAAACTCCAAACTACTAAAAAATGCTTCAGCCTGCTCTTTGTAACCTCCGATACATAAGCCCTCAATAATCACATTATGTGTGACAGTTGTTGGCGTCAACCCTCGTCCCTTCATATGGTCCAAAAGGTGAAGTGCCTCTTTAACAAGGCCATTTCTAGAAAATCCACCAGCAAGCACATTATATGTAATAATGTCCGGTTTTAATCCTTTTTCTTTCATTTCTTCAAATAAATCCAACGCATCTAATATTTTTCCATGGAGACAATACCCATTTATTAAAGTAGTGTAATGCACAATGTCAAGTGTCATCCTCTTACCCTTCATCTCATCAAGCAACTCCACCGCCTCTTCAAACCTACCGAGTTGGCACAGGGCATCAATTACGACATTATAAGCCACCTCATCAAGAAAAATGCCCTGCTTCATAAAACTACTGAACTGATCAACAACATAACATGCCTTACCATTTTTGCACAAGCACTGAAGAATTGAGCTGACAATCACACAATTACTTTTGATACCCCTTGCTTCCATCTTGTCATGGAAATCCAGAGCTTTAGTAATATTCCCGGTATCGCAGTAACCATGAATTATAGCCCCATAAGAAAAGGCATCAGGGATCAGTTCTTGCTCCTCCATGTCAAGCAGAACAATTTCTGCTTCTTGCAACTTTTTCTCATTAACAAACCCGCGAATTACAGCAGTATAAGCATAGACATTAAGGGGTATATTCGCCCCTTTCCATGCCCGCAATACATCATAAGCCAAGTCTGATCGACCATACGAGCAAAGCCCTTCAATATAAGTAGAATAAGTAAACTCATTAGGAGTATCACCAGCTTTCTCCATCTCCTCAAACACACCAACCGCTTCTTCCAAATTACCTTTTCTACATAACGCTTTGATCACGATCCCATATGTATACACATTGGGTTTCACCGCAATCCTCCTCAACTGTTTATAAACCGCCACGGCCATATCTACTTTCCCGCACTCAACAAGACGATTCATGAGATAATTACACGACAACACGCTCAGCCCAAAACCACACCTTTTCGTCTTGAACAACACATCAATAGCTTCATCAAACATCCTTAAACTCACGTAAGCCTTAACCAACCCATCCAAAGCCTGAACCAACGAATTAGGGCCCTCAGCATTTAACCCCTCCACTAGTTCCGCAAACAAATCAGAAACCTCAAACCCCAAATCTTTTTTTCCACAATTTATAACCTCCACGAATAAAGAATCCAATTTCATATCCATACCCCAATAACAAAATGTCCTAACCATAGCCATATAAGTATGTACATCATGTTTAAATCCACTTTCTTTTAATTGACGAAAAAATAATAAAGCATTTTCAGGCTCTTCCTTTAAACTGTTGAGCATTTCAGTGACCCAATAAGAATTTACCTCAACAATATTATTGGTACTATTTTTCATTTGGGTATTTCCATTTTGTTCATCAGAACTAGAATCCGAAAAATATGGGCTTAATTGAGCTACTGAAGAAACTGATTTAAGTCGAATAAATTGATAGCTGTTCTTGAATAGGTATCTATAAGAAGCTGACCTTATTGTTGAAACCCACATGGAAAACTTTTCAAACACGCATTTGATTTGATTGTAGGAAGTTTCCTTCGACTGTTGTGTTCGTTCAAGTGACAGTGTAGCAAAAGTGAGTTATGCTACTCTTAAACCCTAAACCCCAAATTATATACGAATAGCTCAAAAATGGTTGGACGAGTTACAAAAGATATTTTACTGTCGGAAAAAAATAAGCCGCTCCAGCCTCCAGAATATGCTTCTCCCGTAACTTTTCAACTAATTATATTATTGGAGTAAGTAATATTCAATATTCCTATTTGTTTAGTGTTTTTTGGTGTTAAAAGTTCAAAATACAATAATATTTAGCTTGATTTATACATTAACTGCAAAAAATAACGTCAGTTAAAATATAATCAAATCGGCAATATGTAATTTTTTCACACGTGAAATATGTTTGTATAAATCTTTTGTAAATATATTATATTATTTTCATAATTTATATTTTTTGGAGTCATCCCTAATTAAAAATTATAAATACTTGCCGGAAGTGAGTGAGAAAATAATTCAACATATATTTTAAGTTTGACAAACATTTAAACTAACCAAAATGTGCTTTGAAGCTTGTTTGACAGTTTTTAAGTCAATCCAAACACTCCCATAGTCATTTATAATTTGATTAAAAAAATGATGTTGCAATGATCTATTGTGTTTAATTTTCATATATCTTACGTGTAAACTAAGAATATTTTAAGAGATTAGACATAAAACTTTAAAAATATAATGGATTGTAATATGAATCGATGCGAACTGAACAACGGCACTACTATTATTAACTAGACTTACGCAAATGAATGTGTGAATTTTCTGACAAATAAAGTGATACGATCGTGAATAACCCGACTAGCACAAAGTTAATAGCTAGGAGAACAAAATATCCCAATCCTATTTCTTGTTTCCTTAAAAAATAAAAGATGTTTTGTATTTCAAAAATAACTAATTAAGTGCATCTTGTTTCATTTTTATGACATGTTTCTAGTTTTAAAAAAAATAATACTTGCAAAATATGAGTTTTCGTTTCCTTTCCTTATTTTTATTATTTCTCTTTCCTTATTTTTAGTTTTTCCTATCTTGATTAAAATAAAATTTTTAATAATAGACTTATTCTTAGGTAGAGTTTTTACATAGTGTGAGTTCACAAATATTATGGTGAGGTTAAGCAAAATATTTGTTCGACTCGAGCTTTAAAAGTATCTTCAAGTTGGATTGGTAATTTTTTCTTCTTTAATCTTTGCTTTTTCTTGGGGTCGTTTTTGGGCATGTTGGCTTCACATACTAATGGCTTCAGATAGGGATCGAGATATTTTATGTTCTTCAATTTATATATTATTATTTTATCTCATTAGCCCCATTGATCAATTTATTTTCAATCAGTCTGCTTGTGTGAAACTAGTAGCGCATCATTTGGCGTCAAAGCAATCCCCAATAACACCTATTAGAGTAATCTCAAATCATATCACAAAGGATAAAATGACAAAAATACGTGTTTAATCTGAGATTATAACTTAAGAAAATAAAATTTATTGTCCTATCAAATCTAGGACCCGTTTGTCCATCAGAAAATTTTCTTTCTTTTTGCAAAAAAATTTCAAACAATTGGTTATACATTGAAATGATTTTCTGAAGATGAGTTTGGAAATTTGAAAATGTGGCTTTTACCATATTTTCATGTAAAAATTCATTTTTCTTCATAAACTTATAATAAATTTTCAAGAAAAATATATATTCAAACACAATTTTGAATTTCAACTTTTTTCAACTTAACTCCAATTTGTTTTTTAAAAATTATATTTTTTTCTTATCCAAACGCCTAATAAGTCAATAAAAAAAACTCATTAGTTTTTCAATTTAATAATAAAAAATAAAAACACTACTTTAGCCCGGGAAGCAGTAGCCTAAACTCGAGATGAATAAATTGTGAAGGCGACGAGTGAATGTCCAAAGCTCTCTTCTCGTCGGAATCGGTCTCTGACTACGCAACAGACTTCATTCATTCCACAGAAACCCTAGGTGAATACTAAACAGTTGCCTCAATTTCTCTGGCTGACTTAAATACAGTTGCCTCATTTCTGGTAAATTCAACTTAATTTCTGCTTCCTTTTTTTTTAATGTATATTTCCTTTTTTTTTGTTGCTGTAGCTATGTTTCGTTATGGTAATGGAAGGGAGGGTTTTTGAACGAGTGAGAAGCCAAAAAATATAATTTTGTATGTTTTACTAAATTTGTTTTATTCTGATTCCATGATTTGAAAACATTTTATAAACAAACAAATTTCGGAAAAAGGAGAGAAAAGAGAGAAGCAACCATGGATGTAGCTTAGCAATTGGCAATGGAGTAATCGAGGTGGCCTGAACACCACACTGGCGGAGCCACCTTATAGGAACGCGGAAAACATACACTGTGTAGGTAGGTAAAAAAATAAATTATATGTATATATATTATGTATTGACTTCCCTTAATTTCCTAGTATGTTTACTTTTATATATTTTGACACCCCTTAACCAAAATTCTGGCTCCGTCACTGGAACACCACTATTATTCGAAAGAAAATTAAAAAGTGGAAGAAAGAAAATAAACATTGGAGAACCATAAGGTCTCAAGTTCAAATCCTACCAGATGCAAAAAGAACAATAGGTGAATTTCTTCCCATCTACCTAAGGTCATAAGCTTTAGTGGCAGAGTTTTCCGGTACCTGTGCTGGTGGGAAGTAATAGATAGCAATAATCAAGGAGCCGTAAACTGGTCCGGACACCACCTGCCATTAAAAAAAAGAAGAAAAAAAAAACAGAGGAATGGTTGAAGGAAGGAGGGAAGAGAAATACCCTTCGTTTTAGACTCTAATGAGTGAAAATTAGGGTTCTAACTGTGACTATTTCACTGTCTCCGGATGTGTGAGTCTCATTTCTTAATTTGTTCTGCTCTATCTTTGATGCGATGCTTAAGTTTTTTCTTGCACAATTTTATCTTGTATCAGGATTGCAATGGACACTATTAAACATGAGAAAGTAAGGAGATTTGAGGAGTTTGTTGATCGCCGTCTGAAACCAGATCTTGTTCATGCAATTGCTGAACGGTTGTAACAAATATCTCATTCTAGTTTCCTCGGTTTTCCTGAAATCATTTTCTGTGTCATATATCTCTAATTACTTTCTTTCACACCATTTACTGCATTTCTATTTGATCCCTATCCTTGAATGACAAAGAAGTTTTTCGGCTGAACATTTCACTTTTCATATTAACAGAAAAGGATCTTTGATGACCTATATTTAAAGTATATTCTAGTAGATTCCTATTATGGTGGTTTCCTTAAACTTATTTAGCTTGCTCCTCCATCAATCATAGTATTAATTATGGCTGCTTTTGTAAAAACTTATTTTCCAAATTAATGGTCAAATTGTGCAGTAGAACGAGGAAAAACTAGGTGTTATTCTAGTCATGGTTAAATTTTGTTCATCAATTTGAGGCTTAATCCCGCAATGTTGTGTTAAAAAGTTTTAGCATCTTAATGTATGAAGGCAATGTGTTGGAATAAACTCTGCAATTAGCAAACTGATCAGTAGACAAATTACCCCTTATGGGGAACAGTGATGTCCAAACTGTTGCATAGAAAGTAATGGAATGGTTTATATCCAAAATACTAAAGTTACCTGCATATGATAAAAGATCTATACATATTTAAGTTTAATTATCATAACCAGGAGCTTGAAGCCCTTGAGTCGTCATCATACGAATCTGGCTAGTTCTTGCTGGCAGATGTAGGAAAAACATGTTACTTGAGGAAATATCCAGGGAATCTTATTTTCTTTCATGCAAATAATCTTACGATGGCATAACTTGGTTTATTTTGTTTCCTTTAACTTGTTGGCTGCAGGGACAAGGTCTTTGAACAGCAAAAGATTTTGTATCCTTCCCTTGTTATTATACTCGTATTATATTGTTATATAACACAGTTATGGAAATTTAGTTGGATCATTATTTCAGTCGTTTGGACTTTTTGATGTATTTACTTGCAGCTATATGGGTTAAATTGTTTAATTGTTTATCTGAACTTTGACGTTGGAATGAGGTCTGTTCAGTTTTCTTGACTACCTTCTTTTAGCTCAGATTTAAGAAGCAATATAGAGAATTTGGAGAAAAACAGTGTAACTAATATGAGGACGCTGGTTAATCTTGGCTCTGAAGTATACATGCAAGCTGATGTGTAAGTCTTTGTTAGCTTTATTTTAATGTTGGAAGCAATTTTCTGAGAAAAATAAATCAAAAGCAAGTGATGTCTGCTATCATTTGAACATGCTCGACAGGCCAGATACAACGCGCATATTTGTCGACGTCGGACTTGGATTTCATGTAGAGTTCACTTGGTCGGAAGCTCTAAAGTATATATCAGCAAGGGAGGAGAGATTAGCCAGGTACTTCTAACTTGTGATTCCACCGTTAGTGTTTTATTTAAGTTTGAGGGCATAAATTCAGTTACTGTTTCTTTCAAAATCTAGATAATTGTGTAAAGTATAACTTGGTCACATGATAAATCCGTCTCCTGTTCTTAAGATTTGGAGAAGAACTGATGATGATAAAATACAAGAATTCAATGAATTGGTCATCTTAATAATAGATCAAACCCCTCATGGAGTTTCTCCTTATGATGTATAGTGAGGATCTCTTTTTTACTGATAAGAAATAGGTTGGATCTCTTTCCTAAAACCAATTACTGGCAAGTGAGTCACTTGAATAAATGGAGATGGGGAAGTTTGCAGAATTCTGAGATTTGTACAGTACAGTACAGTTAAAGCTACATTTCATGAATAACCAGCTTTAAAGTTTACTGACAGCATAATTCAACTAATAGCACATATCGAGGATAAAATAAAAGAAGTTCGCTTGAGATGGTTCGGCCATGTCCTGCGTTGCAAGCCCCTAGTCCTATCAGTTGAGTAGCCCAAGCTCCTTAAGAGCACCGATTCATAGGTGTGAAATAATGTTGAGTGAAGGTGTTAAAATGGGACGAGATAAACCTAAAATCACAAGGAAGTTGTCTCGGACGACTTACTGTCTCTTGAAATGCATGCAGACTTAGTGAAAGATAGGACACAATGAAGAAAAAAATCTATATAGGCGATGCCAGTTAGTTGGGAGATATTCATGTTAGTATGTTTATTTTAGATCCTATGCTTCCTAGGTCTCCTTTAGCCTTGTCAGAGATCTATATGCTAGTAGAAATATAGAGAACTTTTGGTACTTTTTATTTTGGCTGAATACATATGCGGCCCCTTAAACTTGTCAGAAAATTCCACAGACACTTTAACTTAAGGTGTAACCTATTGAACACTTGAACTAAGCTAAAAATATGTCAATTGAACACCTTTTTCAACTCAGCCAAAACATCAGAACGCGTGAGATTCACAGCAGTTGGCATGGCAAAGTGACAAATAAAAAGAAGACACATCAGCAACTAGTAAAAATTAAAGTCCGACCACTGGGGTTGGTCTCCTACTCCGGCAAGAGCACAAAATGCACAAAAAACTGTCTTTGCGTTAATAAATTCAATTGAAATCACGATTGGCGGCGAAATCAAAACAACTGGAAATTGGCGCCTGCCCTAAAACAAGTATACAGAAATCACTATCCTCGGCCGAGGGTCTACCGGAAATAGCCTCTCTATCTTCATAAGGTAGGGGTAAGGTCAGCGTACACGCTTCCCTTCTCAGACCACACTTGTGGGATTACAGTGGGTTTGTTGTTGTTGTTGTTGTTGTTGTTGTTACTATCCTCCCTTCAGCTTTGACAGACGCCCTTTTATGAATAATCAAAATAACACATATTGCACCAAAACCACATACGAGGACGGCGTATTTGAGCTAGAAGAAAGAATGCCAACAGTGGGTTGACTTTGAGTTAAAGTTTGACGTTCCGTTTCAGTTTTGTCCGCGACTGGCGTTACAACGAAGGAGACGGTTTCTTCCACCATTTCTCTGGCTGTGACGACCGTTACTTGCATCTTCTCTCCATGTTCCCTTCGTGCTATTTTTTGTTTCAGTCTTCTCTGGTTTTTTCTCTCTTTTGTGTCCGTATTTAAGGTTCTATAATTCATGAAGTGGGGATCTTCATGACTTTCAACGTAGAGAGGTTTCTAGGTGAGAGTCATAGGGAAGATAAATTTTGAGATACTGCAAGTTACAAGATACGTGGGCTGAAAATGAATTGTACAGAGAATTTTGAAGGAAAATTCAACATTCAATTTTTTCTCTTTTTCTTCTTTAGAATTTGAAATCATCCATAATTCACTTATGCACTTGTTATGGTTTGGTGGCTAGATTTTTATAGATTTTCCAAGTGATTTAGCGGTTGGAAAAAACGGGTTATATTACCGGAAAAAATGGCTTTCGTTGGTGTTGGATTATCCGGCCAAAGAATGAATTAGGGGGGCAGAAAGAATGTAGGGAGAGGAAAGCCTAGTACATCTCTGGATAAAAAAGTGATTTCAGGAAAATATGAAGCATACTCACTCTCTCAAAGGAGGTGAAAAACACTCACTGTGCCATAACTGCACATTATGTTCAATTGACACATTTTTAGATTAGTTCAAGTGTTCAATAGGTCACACCTTTAGTTAAAGTGTCTAAGTGAAATTTTCTGCCAAGTTTAAGGGGCTGCATATGTATTAAGCCTTTTATTTTTATTTTGTATAATATTGGCTTGAGATGAGTTTAAATTGAGAATCATGATCCGTGAAAATTCATATAGCCAATTCCTACTTGTTTGAGGCTGAGGTGTAGTTATTGTTTGTATCATTCAACTAACTGGCTGCAATTCATTTTGTTCAATCTATGTTTTTGTTTTCAAACTCGTCTAAGCTTTAACCAGACTGCTATGGATGAAAAAGATAAGAAGGAGTTATGTGTTTGAGCTTTTCACACTCAAGGAAGAGAATAACCTTCTCTGGCATGTTTTATGACTTCATTTTCCCATGTTCAAGCGGAAATACTCTGGCGAGCATTATTTTAAGTCATGTTTCTTGCCTTACACTGAATGTTGATTTTTTTGCAATTAAATGTGCAGGCAAATAGAGGAATATACACGTCTAATTGCATCAATTAAGGCCCAGATCAAGATGGTATGTGGGTTAATTTTTCTCCTTTCCTTCTTCCTAATAAACATGTGCTTCGGAGCTCTCAAGGACGCACATAATATCAAGTTGTGAGAGATAAACCGGAGCGTTCTTTTATCTTCCTGATGAAATTACACTAACTGATGCATATTTTGTGAAAAAACTTGAATGCAGGTTCATGAAGGGATACGTGAGCTGCTCCAGCTTCCGGCAGAACCAGCTTACTAAGGTGTACATGTTGTATATTGGTAAAGGAGAGGGGATTTACAGAGACGAGGACCACCAAAAAGTGAAAAATGAAGACTAAGCTAATTCTCTATCCATCAAAATGGTGGATGTGCAAATGTTCTATAAAGGACTTCTCTATCTGTTCCTTTAAAAAAGATCATCTGTGGAAGAGGAGGGGTGGTTGATTAAAATTTCCATCAGTTTTTTTAGAAGTTTTGGATACTGCATTAGGTATCAGAACGACTGCATTAGTTTTCTTGTGCTTATTACTGACTGACCGATGGCTCGTAAACAGTGGAATTGGAACCATACAACCTATTTGACTAATATATTTGAGGTCAATGCTAAAGCCTAACTGTGTGTCTCTATGAAGGTTGTATATTGTTGAGATACAATAACATGGACATTTTAAATTTGCTTTTTTTCCTAATAAATTAGAGCAAAAAGTTGTCTTCCATGGAAAATTGTCAACAAGGCAGGATCAGTAATTTTTCTTCCTACATGTGAAAGTTCCTTCCTTCGGTACTCTATTTAATTGTTCTCATAGTTACTTGTTTAAACACTTTGTAATAAAAAATTCCCCCCAAAAAGGAACTCCGGTATAAATCCTATATTTATCGAAGTGCCTTTAATAAAAAGGTTAATAGAAGTAATACCAAAACTATGTTACAATCGAACTGTTATATCACGAGATTAACTCTCGCGGGAAAAGATCCCACAAAGAAAACAAATTGTATAGCATGAAATAACATAAAAACTAAAGGCAGGAAAAATATGCGACTCAAAAAAACTATATAGTACGAAATAAGATAGAAATTCAAGTGTTAAAAGACCCTTTTATTCCAACCTAAACACTCCAATGTTCTTTTGCAAGTCTGGGAATGTTCACTACTTTGGTTATGTACAACTACATAGTAAGGGTGTTTAAAACCGAACCGAACGGAAACCGTTAACCGAATCGAACCGATGGCTTATTGGTATCGGATTATCGGGGTAATGGATGACGAACGGATTGAGATTTTATAATTAACGGTTTGGGGGCGGATTACTCAATTTTTTTATCGGGTAAACCGTTAACCCGCTATTTTTTTTTATATTTACACTTTTACCCTTATGTATATAAAAGTACTATTGAAACCCTAAATGGCTAAATCCCTAATTTGTATTTTCTAATTCTCAAATGTCCGCATCCACTAGAGACAGAGAAGTCGTCAGTTTTGTCTCTCTCTTGAACTGAGAAACCGAAAAATCGAAATCTCAATGATTAATACGTGTATGTCTGTATGAGTAGTCTTGATGATATTAAAAATTTGGTTAATACGTGTATGACAATACGAGTAGTCTTGAAGACTCTTCAATTAAAAAATACTGTTTGGTTAGATCTTAGATGGTATTAAAAATTTGGTTAATACGTGTATGACAATACGAGTAGTCTTGAAGACTCTTCAATTAAAAAATACTGTTTGGTTAGATCTTAGATGGTATTAAAAATTTGGTATTGATTTGAAACTGTTTGGTATTGATTGAATGATTGTTCAAAAAAATTCTATTTGGTTTAGCCGATAAGCCGCTCGATAATTGTTAATCCGATACCAATCCGCGTTGTCTTATGAATGGCTAGCGGATTACCACATTTATAATCCGATAACCGTTAAGCCGAACCGTTAAACGTAATTATCTGCCCGATAAGTACCCCTACAACAGAGTATCAATCATTTTAATTAGATTAAATTAATACTCATTAATAAAATCCTTTATTAGTCATTCATTAAATTAAATGATAATTAAAAAGAAAGAAAAAAAATCACTTTTTATGTAGAATAGTTTATACTTTATTGACCACTAGTAACCATTTACTAGGGTGACGAATGGACTTGACATTCGCACCAAAATCCCGACCGATTTCGGCGCCAATTCCAAATTTCTGCAAAATCTCTCCTCTTTCCGTCGGCTGCAAACTTGCTCCCCTCCATCCACTAGTAAGTTTCACTCCTTCAACTCCTAGAGGTTTTGCTTGTGTGAGAAAGGGTTCCATGGCTTGGTGTGAGGGTATCGATGAAGCTCGTATTCTTATTGCACCAGGTACTTCCTTAGTTCAAGTTTAATTTGTGTCTCTTTTCTCTTGCCGCTCCTTTTTTTTTTTTTTTTTTTTTTTTTTTTTTTTTTTTGATATTTCAGACTTACATATTACATCTTCTTTATGTATTGTTAGCAGAAAAGGTAGAAACTTTCGATTGGGTACTATGGTTCTTAATTTTTGTATCTTGATTGAATAATTTGCGCCCTAAGAAATATGCTTTGCCTTAATTTGATGGGAATATTGAGTACATTATTTGTGTTATATTGCTTTTATTTGAATATATTCATCCATTTGGAATCTAACAACTTGTTTGGATGGTTGTTGCTTATTGTATTGTATTGTATTGTTACCTTAAATACAATATTTGCTTTGATTGTTACTTAAATTTTACCGTATCGTATCGTTAAATCTGTCGTTACGTTACGACCAGTGGCGAAGCCAGAAAATTCAACAAGGGTGTTCAAACCTTTGCCAGTGGGCTATGTAAGGGTGTTCAAAGTCTATTTTTAATCAATAACAAGTAATATTTTACCTTATATGCAGTATAATTTTCCGGCGAAGGGCGGTCAGTTGACCACCCTTGGTAGCGCGTAGCTTCGCCCCAGGTTACGACGAAAAGTGTGACTTTATGGAATGACAGATTTGATGTGGTGGCGTCGTTACCTTGCTTTGTTGTCTCATCTTGCCCTTCCTTATTATTAAATAATAATCATATTTTATCTTTTATCCTGCTCTTTTATATAATAATTTTACTATGTATCCTATTTTTTCTTAGTAATATTGCAAGTTTATTCTTCATATTGTTGGTGCATTATATTATTAAACGCTATCCAAATGTTGTATTCATCAAACAATACAATACAGTATAATACAATACGATACATTATGAAACGAAATGCAACAACAATCCAAACAAGTTGTAAAGCAAGGACGGATATAGAGTGTAAGGTATGGGTTTGTCTTGGCCCCCGTATTTGTGGTAAAAAATTCAATAAATAAGTACAAATAATTGATTTTGAGCCCAATAAATCAAATGAATTGTGGTAGAATTTTGAACTCGGACCCATAAAGTTCAAATCTTGGGATATGCCTCCGATCTAAAAGGAGTGTCTTAAGCATGTAAAATTACTCTTGCTTTAAGATATCAGTAGCTAAATGTAAGATTCATCTCCCAAGGATGAACACTAATATCCAAGATTTTATGACTTGTTGGTCCTTCCGGATATGTCTTTAAACTGATAGACCTATCGTATCGTCAAATCTTGATTCTGAAAAAAAAAAAAAAAAAAAAAATCATCTTTACATCTCTCTTACTGCGTCATTGGTCCTTGATGATGATGATATGTCAATCTCCTAGACTACAGATCCAGAATCTCTACTAACTTTACTGCAATATGATCAGTTTAACATTTTTATTTTATATTTTACAAACTGTAACTCAGCTTAACATTGCAGAACCTTCAAAGGATGGGAACACGGTAGGGCAGCTATTATCTCTCCAACATCCCAAATCGGGTAAATTCCTGCACTTCTCATACCACCGTCTTATTTAATTGTATCTTTATTTTTCTAAGATGTTGCCTTTCATTATGCTTACTTGTTTTACTGTTTTTCTTTGGGTGATAATGCTTTCATTATAGTGGATTGAGACATTGTTATTGGTGGATGTATCGATATTATTACGGCTTATTTTTTGTTAACCATGCTCTAACCTTCTGTTGGTTGTCAAACTATCTTTTGGGAACTGGTTATGTGACTAAGGTTGTCTTAATACTGCAATAACATTAGATTGACGGACATAATGTTTTTGGATTCGCCTCTGTGACAGGCAATGCAACATGTTACGTTTGTGTTGATGGATCTCTTCAAGAACTTCACTGGTTCAAGCAATCTTATGGGTCTTGGTTCCTTGGGGATTATGTATGTGAAGGTAAAAGTTTGGCTGAGCTTGATCTAAATAACCCTTTCAAAAGTTGATAAGTCTACATTTCCATCGTTGTCCATTAGTTGTCTCGATAATCCAAATGATAAGCGTTAGAGGAAATATCTAGTCCTTGACAGTGGCTTCACTTCATAGAATAAGTGTTAGAATTGAAAATAAAAACATCTTCTTTTTTTTTAAATCTCAAGTTTAATTTTCTTTTTGTGCTTCATTCTTCCATGCGAAAGATTGATGAGGATGCAGTAGGAGGATTAAGACTACCTCTCATGAAGCATTGTAGAAATTTGAATCAACCTGCAAGGAGGATTAAAACTACCTCTCTGAAATAATCTAAAAAATTTGCCTATCAAAAAAAAAATTTAAAATTTTTAGTTCTACCTGGATACAGGTTAGGTGTTTGGCCTATCTCATTTATTTTTGACACAGTCCAATGAATTGCCCTACTACACGTCCAACTTGGGCTTTGCTGTATAGACATGGTTCTTCTATGTCTTGCTGTGATTCCACCTGCAATGTCTCAAACGAGCAAGATTGAGGGTTCTGATCCTTGTGTGCACTTCCCTTTGATTATTTTAGATTTCAAAACAATTACTTGTCACTGGAAAATAATGACTCCTTTTCTAATATGGAAAAACACTCTTCATTCGGTTCAACCAACTTCTTTGTTTTTTACATTTCAAACTATTATTTTAAATATCTTGGAGAAAGGTATTATTTACATTCTTCTCTCCAGAAGTCAATACTTGTAATAATTCATTTAAACATTTTTCTCATATGCTTCGTGGACGTCGACCCACGTCAATAAAATGGAACAGAGAGAATAGTAGAAGAGTTGCACATATGAACTAAACTCGAGTTTAGTGGCTGTCAGGAAAAAAGAGTTTACTAGTGGCCCTATTTGTAAATTCTGAATGAACCGTGTTCTGATATGATGTTTAATGCATATTGCGGAATCTTTCTTTTGCTTACTAGATGTTGATTTAATTTCATGCTTAGGATAACTGGTATGCTTATACTTTACCTTTCATGCTCTTGATAGAGAAGCCTGTTGGTTTGTCTTCTGCTCTTTAAAACTTTCAATGCCATTGATCTTGATTTCTAGAGGAAGTTTTAGTTTCTTTTTTTGTTAGCTTTTCTGTATTCTCATTTATTTCTCAAAACAGATGGCCGATTGTATACTGCAACTCCAGTGGATCCAGTTTTTGTTCTGTTACCTATTTTCGAAGAAGCAAGAATGAAGGTATTAATTAATCTCTAATTTCTGAATGATGCATCTCTCTGCAATAAGTTTCTTATATAGAGAAGCTGCTAGCTAAAATTCATATAGTAGAGAAGTGTAATGCTTGTACGTGTGTAGGTTACACATATTGTTGATTTATGTATTATTTACT